ACCTCCTCATGCATCGGCTCGCATGCGAATGGGGTGCGTTGATTCTGCTCGCGGCCTTCACCATGCCCGCTGTCGATGATCTCCTCGGGAACTACCTCCTGCACATGCTCTTGGACGGGCACCTGATTAACTTCCTCATGCATATGCGCCGTTGGCTTCAGCTCGCACTCGAATGAGGTGAGTTGCGGCCCACGCTCCTGATCACTGTCTTTGGTCTGGGAGCGCTCTGCACTGAGATTGAAAACCTGCTCTTGAGCGTCCTCCGTGGTTGTCTCGTACTGATCAGACACCATATCCAATCCTTCTCGGACCTTCTCATGAGGGTGGCTGCCACGGCGCGGCCGTTCTGACTTGTATGTCACTGTGCCGGGGACCGCCGTGATCGGAGTAGGCTGAGCGTTCAGCGTGGATCCTCGTGTTCCAGTGTTGTCGAGGACTTCCGCGAATGGAGTAGGCATGACGGCCAGCGTGGAAGGGTCAGGTTCCTGTATCGCAGCGTTGTCGGGGACTTCCGTGAATGAAGTATGGGCTACGGTCGGCGTGGAAAGGCTAGATCCTCGTATCCCAGTACTGTCAAGGACCTGCGCGAGTGGGGTAGGCGCCATGGTAGGCGTGGTAGAGTCGGACCCTCGTATCTTGTGGCGCCGACCCAGTGCAGAGCGCTTCGCTGCGCTCTGGGCACGCAACTCCTCCTTAATCGTGGGAACGGGCCTACGCGATCTCGCGCGTGCAGTCGACATAGGTGGTACTGAGGTAGCCTCCGTGCTATGATCCAACTAGGGGGCAACGTTGAGAAACCTCATCAGAGTCTGCCGTAGATGACGGCTCACCGTTTGCGCGATGCTCGCGACTTCTCCACCATCAACCCCACCAACTTCGGTCAAAACATGCTAGTGCGACAATGAGCAAAGACACACTGGTCGTTGAAAAATGTTCATACGATGTTATCCTCCGTCATGACTCCTGCCTGGTCCACGGCGGACACCTCCGAATTCATAACGTCCTCCTCCTCCTCCTCCTGATCCTCCTCCCCCTCCTCCTCCTGAGCCTCATCCACGCCATCGATAGGTTGCGTCACAAGTGGCGATGGAAGGAACGTATGGACAAGTTCCAGGGTTGGGAGTCGCACTTCCAATGCCGCCATGTCAACCATTCCATCATGGTAGAACGGTGCGAAGCGATGAGATTCGGTAGAGTCTTCAGAATCACCATCGTAGCCCGATGAAGAGGCATCATTATCGGTATCGTCGATGGTCATCACTGAGATATCAATGTCAACTATTGGTAGGAGAACGTGGACAGTGAATAGTACCTGAAGAGTCCAGATTATCGTCGGTCAGGTGTATCGAGAAGTCGATATACTGTCCAGGACCAGTCGGGTTGCTTTATATATAGCGTACGCCAGGTGCATGCTGTCCAGCGGGCTACTCTCGCGAGCAAAGCGGCAGATGGAAAAGGCGAAAGAGACGAGTCGGAAAGAGATAGATGGGCAAAGACGAGAAAGAGAACATGAGAGTATACGGCGACCAGCGCGCAGCAAGCGCAAGGTACTAGCAGGCGCAGACCATTGTTCGACAGACCCTAGGTCAACTGGACCTGAAGTGGATGGTGAGAGCGTTCGTCAAGGCTCAGAAGCCGCGACCGGCGTGATGGGATCACGCGTCATGAAGCACACGCCATGCGATGGCGCGGACCACAGTCGCTGCCTGCTTGTGTCCCTCATGTCCGCCTGGTCAGCCACAGAGAGCACAATTTCTTTGACGCAGAAGGCGACATCGACATGGCTATCGCGTAACCAAAGGCGATGCGCTGGGTAGGCCACGAAGGTGTCCTGCTACCAGCCTCGTTCCGAACGTCCGCCTTTTCGAGTCTTTGCGCCTTATGTCCGCCTTTTCGAGTCTTTGCGTCTTATATTCGCCTTATCGAGTCTTTGCGCCTTATGAGCTATTGCGCTTGGATACTCTCTTCGTGCCGGCGCTAGGGTTGCAGCGCATGGCAAGCCGTACTGTACTTATACTCGCCTGCGCTCTTCATGGCTGGCCGGCATCACTCCATTCATTCGCCAAGACATCTCCACTGCACAAAGCGTCATGTCGTATCCGGAACTCCGGGTGAGCCTTACAGCTCGCTGTTCTTTACGCCCGCGATGCCCTAGTACTAATATCTATCGCTAGCGCCGCACTCGTCAAGTCGTCCTCGCTCTGCTTGAACGCCGGACGGCTCGCGATCCGTTCCCTGCGCACAAAATTCCCACTAGGGAACAAGTCTTACACTATGAGACCCTTGGTGAAGCTGGACCTACCATAGCAGAGTGGATGGTGGATCCGTTGAGTACGTTCTCTGCGATCTGGAATCAGAGGGCGGGCGACCTCCTTCTTGAGCTTCTTCTCGCCCAAGGGATTATCACACCAGCGGAAGGGCCGGACATACGGGCATATGTCGCGTCATACCATAACAACTCACTTCGTCGCCACTACCGATCTCTCAATCTCTCGAATTCAACCTCCATCGCGGGCAGGGCGACGAACATGAAGCGCCGACGCAATGTAGTACGTAGCGGTTTCTCGAGTCGAAACATCGCATACTCATACATTGGAAATAGCTCTCCATTCTGAGTCGAAGTCATCTCGAAGATACATTCCAAATTCTTCATGCGGTAGATCTGGAACCCGGCATTTATGCTGATGACGAAGACGACCCCCGTTCCATTAATGCTGCAAACTGAGCAGCCCCTGCGCGCCTCTCTGTCCTGTACGTCAGTCACCACTCCATTCCAAGAACTCCTGGCGCTGACTACCCTACGCAGTCAAGCTCTAAGTGTGTTTCGCGTAAGCGCGATCGCACAGCCCGGCGGGTGTCGGGTTTTGTTATAGTTCGAGCGATCCGTACTATGCTATCTCACGCGTTCAGGATCATCTCGGGAATCTTTGCTAGGAGGCTGTTTGTACTCTTGTCTGTCATATACGCGAGTATCTATATGTCACTATATTTGCATTGGAGGGATGGAGTCTGCATGCCTTAAAGCTGCCACACCCCGCTCGCATCTGCGTGAACTCGGCGATAACCATCACGGGCCTAGCCGGCAGAGATTCGGGATGGCCACGATGTACGCCGCCTGCACGCATCCTCGACCATCATCATCGTGAACGCGGATCTCGTGTACGGCTCGATGCCTGTAAATTCCGAAGACATTCTCCCGCCTCGGGTACCGATTTCTTTGGGTCGTGACGATGAATTGCGGGGATTCTTAGAGGTGCGCCTCTACATCTACGCTGTTGTGGCAAAATGGGGCTGAACGCTCTAGGCATTTTGGACCTTCGCACAGAAAGACGACCGCGCATATCCCGTGCTCATGGAAGGCTTCAACGATGGCCTCAACGATGCTTTCCTTTTGCATCGCCACCTCGCGTATTGCATTCGATCCCTTCAGCCTTCCGGTGCACCAGCCCGATCTCCCTATGCATATCTCAGGGAGATGACTGCGTTCCTCGTAAACTTACTTCATCGTGCCGTATTCGTCGTTCTGGCATTCTTCGGTGTCGCACGCGCACGGCTTTTGCT